TTGTTTATTCTAACAGGTTTTTTTTGGTGGAGTCTTTAGGGTTTTCTATATATAACATCATGTTATCTGCAAATGGTGACAATTTAACTTCTTCCTTTCCAACTTGTATGCCTTTTATTTCTTTTTCTTGCCTAATTGTTCTGGCTAAGACTTCCAATACTACATTGAATAAAAGCAGGGAGAGTGGGCATCCTTGTCTTATTCCTGAACTTAAAGGAAAAGCTTTCAGCTTTTCACCATTGAGTGTGATGTTAGTTATGTGCTTCTCATATATGGCCTTTATTGTATTGAGGTAAATTCCCTCTATACCCACTTTGTTGGGTATAGAGTTTTTATCATAAATGGATGTTGAATTTTGTCAAATGCTTTTTCTGTATCTATTGAGATGACCATCTGATTTGTTATCTTTTATTATGTTAATATGGAGTATCACATTAACTGATTTGCAGATGTTGAACAGTCTGTGCATCCCTGGAATAAATCCCACCTGATTATGGTGTGTGATCCTTTTAATGGATTGTTGAATTGGTTTGTTAAACTTTGTTAAGGATGTTTGAATATATGTTCATCAGTGATATTCACCTGTAATATATTTTCTTGTGGCATCCTTGTCTGGTTTTGGTATCAGGGTAATGCTGGCCTAGTAAAATGAGTTTAGAAGAGTTCCCTCCTTTCTCTTTTTTGGAAGAGTTTGAGGAGGATGGGTATTAATTCTTCTTTAAATGTTTTGTAGAATTCACCAGTAAAGCCATCTGGCCCTGGACTTTTGTTTGCTGGAAGGTTTTGGATTATTAATTCAATCTCATTTATAATCTAGTAAGGATTAATCTAGTGTTCAGATTTTGTATTTCTTCATGATTCAGTCTTGGTAGGTTGTATGTTTCTAAGAATTTCTATTTCTTATAGGTTGTCAAATTTGTTGCCATATAATTCTTCATAGTAGTGAATTGAGCTGATTTCTTAACTCTTCTTGCCTCATTACCCTCATCTTAAAACCAGAAATTATTGTTTCTATTTCTATTCTACTTATAATTGTAGTGAGGACTAAAAGAAGTAATATATTTAAATTTCTGCCATCCACTGCCTACACCTAGGATTCTTTCTAGAAATGTTAGTCATTTCTTTTTATTTTTTTAAAGATTGGCCCTGAGCTAACATCTGTTGCCAATCTTTTTTTTCTTTCTTCTTCTCCCCAAAGCCCCCCAGTACATAGTTGTATATTCTAATTGTAGGTCCTTCTAGTTCGACTATGTGGGATACCACCTCAGCATGGCTTGATGAGTGGTGCTAGGTCTGCGCCCAGGATCTGAACTGGTGAAACCCTGGGTCACCAAAGAGGAGCATGCAAACTTAACCACTCGGTCATGGGGCTGGCCCTGCTGGTTATTTCTTATGATGTATTCTCATAAATATTTTCATGGGTTATTCTTGAATATAAAAAATTAATGTCACTTCTTCTTATAAGGGCACTGCCATGAAATAGTTCACGTTCAAGAACATGTTCTAAGATACTGATTATTCTTACAATGGAAGGGAATGAGACACAAATTATTTAAACTTTACTTCAATTTAACTAGCTTTATATATCTCTCCACAATAAATGTTTGCTTGTTCTCCCTTACTGTTGTATTTCTTCGTCTTACTATTTTTATTCTAATGTAAAATAAAATTTAAAAATAGGTAAGGATTATTATTAAAAGATTATGATGTTATTAAAATATATAGTACTATAAAATTGCATGTTCTGGGGGGCTGGCCTGGTGGTGCAGCAGTTAAGTTCACATGTTCAGCTTTAGCAGCCTGGGGTTTGCTGATTCGGATCCCAGGTGCGGACATGGCACTGGTTGGTAAGCCAAGCTGTGGTAGGTGTCCCATTTATAAACTAGAGGAAGATGGGCACAGATGTTAGCTCAGGGCCAGTTTTCCTCAGCAAAAAGAAGATTGGCAGCAGATGTTAGCTCAGGGCTAATTTTCCTCAAAAAAAAATTGTATGTTCATATTGCTTCTGTCATCAAATAATCCATCATGCAACTCATCTGTCATTAGACCCCTGGATTTTAGAACCACTTCAAATGCAATTTATCTCTTGAGTACTTTTTAATTTCCATAGCAAAAAGCTTTCCTGTATAATCTGATAAATATAAATTCAAGATATCTGTGACTATAGCTATCATGATTAAAATTACTGAAACCTCCCAGATGTGCAGTCTTAGTATCTCTATCAATGTCATTCTTTTAAGATATGTATCCATCAATAGTTTGTGTCTCTGTTATAATTTGCTGATCCTACGAATTGGAAAGTCAGCCTAATTCACATCTTTATTAACTAATATTCCTCAGTATTCTAATTTGATTTTGGTTACATTGGAAGGCTTTTTAAAAGTGATATAGCAAGTTTTTACTTATTACATTGTATATCTATTAACTAACTCACACATTTATTGCATGTCAATTATATCTTTTTTTTTTTTTTTAAGATTGGCACCTGGTCTAACAATTGTTGCCAACCTGTTTTTTCTTTTAAGGATTGGCACCTGAGCTAACAACTGATGCCAATCTTTTTTTTTTTTTTTCTGCTTTATCTCCCCCAAACCGGCCCTGTACACAGTTGCATATCTTAGTTGCAGGTGCATGTCAATTATATCTTCAGCTTTGTGTTACCTACTCAGAATATATATGTACATAAAGCAGACATAACCTTTGCTTATAACAGGTGAACTAGAAGGGAGGCCAACATTAGGTTGTGAGCTTTACAAAGAAAAGTACAAGGTGTTCTGAGTCCATACAACAGGCAACCTCATTTAGTCCAGAAGCGTTAAAAATAGTTCCATGAAAAAGAGATTTTAAAACTGAGACTTGAGGCAGAAACTTGATTTAGTGGATGCAGAGCAGGGAGAAGAGAATTCCAAGTCTTTGAGAAGAAACCTGTGCTCTTACATTAAGCCATTAAGCTGAGTAAGCACACCCAGGTATTCTCTTACCTCCAGCTACCTTAGAAATCAAGTGAAAAGACAAGACACAAAATAAAGATCGCACAGTATTCTAAGAGAAATTATTTTTATTTAAAGAGAACTGAAACAAATTCATACACTTAACATTATCAGCCCCTCTAAAAATAGGCAATACATTTTATGAAGGAAGAGGAAGTTAAAATCAAATAGGCACTAAGTTAGTTCTCTTGGCTGTTACAACCTTGACCCACATGGTCAGGTTTCTGACTGGTCCCTCATTATGGGAGTCCAGAGCAAAGAAAAGGTTTGAGAGGAGAAGAGAAAGAGCATGAGAGGGAACTACAAATGAGGGAACTATTGGCCACATTAACAAAGCTCACTACACCACATTCATAATCCAGGAACACCCCGACATAGCCTAGAGGCCTTTCTACATACTGAGGTAATAGTGGAGAGGAGGTAAAAAGACTGCACCCATTGTCCTCTTTGACACAAAAAAGTAGAAAAATTCCCTCTGAGTCAACAACCATGTCATTCCTCATTGTCCAAGAATCATTACAAAATCCAATGACCCAGTTCCAACAGTTCCCCACATACACCTCCCAATAGTGTTGACCAGAAGTGAATGACTGGGTTCCCCATGCAAAAAAATATTTAGATCTTGTTGGATTATTGGCAACCTCAGGATGATCAGCACCAAAGAGAAGACATCGCAGATTTTCAAACAGGGGGATACGACCAGTGACTATTTCATTATCCAAGGAAATATACACTGCAAGAAGAAGGATACAGTCACGTTAATGAATAGTGTTACAAATCCCTGATGGACGTGGGCTTTATATAGCATCTTGGTTTCCTAGCTTCACTGGAAATGGGCCAGGACAGTGAGCGAGAGAAGAGGTAGCTGCTGTAGTCCAAGTTATACTGGTCTGTCTCCCGAACGGGCAAGTCTTTTCTTTTTAAAGATTGGCACCTGAGCTAACAACTGTTGCCAATCCTTTTTTTTTTCTGCTTTTTCTCCCCAAATCCCCCCAGTACATAGTTGTATATTTTAGTTGTGGGTCCTTCTAGTTGTGGCATGTGGGACGTCGCCTCAGCATGGCCTGATGAGCCGTGCCACGTCCGCGCCCAGGATCCGAACCAGTGAAACCCTGGGCTGCAGAAGCAGAGTGCATTAACTTAACCACTTGGCCACGGGGCCGGCCCCACAAGCAAGTCTTTAACTGGGTAAAATGGGAGAAAATCATGAATTTTCTTGAAGTTATAAACAAGAGAGATATCGTTAAACTCTGGGTATTTTCTCTGGAACATTTGAAATTGGGAAGTCATTAATAACTCACAGTCAATTACAGAAGTAGCCTGCCCATCTCCTCAGAAAATGTGAAATGATGATAATAATTTATAATATAATAATAATAAATACAATATAATAAATATTATTATTATTATTCCTAAAGAGTGATCACTTTGCCTCAGACTGAGGGTTTTTAACTAAAGCATGTAAAAGTAAAATAAATTGAAAGAAAAATCGGTATTTTTTTAGAAGTGGTTTCTTTGTGAGAAGTTACTGCCAGAGTATCTTTGGAGAAGGAAAGGATAAATCTAGTGAAATAAATTGTCAGCTTACTTTGTGGATGTTGTATATGAACATTCATTTTATGTTTTTAATAAAATTGATTATACAAACCATTTTTGCATAATGTGAATAAAATATGCTCTTAGTAAAGTGCATTTATTACAAAAAGTTTTAAAAACAAAAGTTAGAACAACCCAAGCATCTCGCTACCAATGATAACCACACCTACCTAAAACTTGGAGGGCACTGAATGTACCTGCAGATTTACATGCTTCGTGTGAACAGTTCACACTAAAGCTCAACATGCTTCAGGCACCAAATATCTTGGCCTACTGTTTACTTTCAGATAGGTTTTACAATCTATCATATTTGGCTTTTCTCTAGATATCAGTTAGTTTTTTTTCATAAAGATGAATTTGGTAATAAATGATCCCAGAAAAGAAACCACAGATTGAGCACTGGTGAAAGATTACTAAGAGAGGAGAATTTGCAGCTGTACCACCAAAAAGTTGCCTGTTACCTTGGGATCGGTTGAGCCTGTCTATCAGTCCAGTGATGGGCCATGAACTGAGCTGTGAGTCCACAGGTTGGGGCATGTGCAGCTGCACTGACTCACTCCTGCAAAGAAGGACACGTAGTTATTCTTTCTTAGCTCAAACATTTCATCACAATGATTCTATCTACGTCCTAAGGAAGATACTTCATTAAAATCTGCATAAGTAGGATCAAGGGTTATGAATGTAACTCCACAAACTAGGGAATGAAGCAAATGTCGATTAATTTTATGAATTAAAATAAATCCAATCTCACCTCCTCACAGTTCAATCCTAGCATGAAATTCAAATCAATCATGATTGTATCTGGTTCCTCTTAGCCAATCACAGAGCTATGCAAAATGGCCGCAAATTGAGAACATTCAAGAAGGACATTTTGATTTCTAATCCACACTAGTCACCTCTGAAATGCTCATTGTCTATTTAACCACAGCGAGAGGTTGAGGAGTTTAGCTTGGACAGGGATGCTGCTTCCTAGGACCCAGCTTCACTTTGTGCACCAGACAAACTTTCCATTTGAAGTCAGAGACTGCCACGTGCTACATATGGAAGCCCCAAACCTTTGATGAGCCTGCCTATGCCTCCCGGCTCCCACTTGAAGCTTCTGTGAAACACTTAATCTCCCACACAATCTTGTCATGACTTTGGGCCACATCCTCAATGTCTTTTTACATTTCTAAAAATTAAAATAAGGAATGGTAGTTGTCTTCATGCAATTTTTGCACAAACCCTGCAAAGAACACCTCTGCCCAACTTCACCTTAAAGAAAACAACAAAACCGTTTCCACCTTTTGAGAAAGGAAAAATAAATATATTATGAAAGAGGTTATATTATCATAATAAATTATGCTCCCATTTCAGCAGCAGCAGTTGGATCACTATTACAAATCTCAAACCTTTAATATAGGGGCAAACTTACCTTTTCAATATGTTTTCAAAATGCTGTAAAGAGAAAAACGAAAAGATAAAGTCTTAGTATACATCACAAGATTGATAGTGGAGACTTATTTCTTATTCCCAAGGGTGAGAGAACTCAAATTTCAGGAAATCATATCATGTACATGGAAACAGAAAGGGAAAATGAATTGTGTAGACTCAAATTTCTCATTGTTGTCAGCTCCAGATACATATCCATATATCTTCAAACAAGCTTCTCTGTTGCAGTAGTTCAGTCGTTGAATGTGTATTAGCAGAATTTTAGAAGGAATTATTCTCTAGGATTTTTGTTACCTACTTTTTCACAAACCCTTGTTATTGTTGTGTATGGCAAGAATGACCCTTGGTCATTAGCGTTACCCAGATATGTAAAACCCTTATCAAAGCATCAGAAAATATCATTCCAAACAGGTGATGGAAGCCAAAGAGAACATGGACTAATATGGACTATCCAAGCAGCCCGTGACTTTCCATTCCTCAGTCCTTACCCGCAGCAGTTCCATGTCTGGTTTATGGCACATTTCCTTGAGCTCCTCATACATTCCTCTTAGGAGTTTCCCCTTTAGGTCCATACTGTCTTCACTTTCCTTGAGTTGTTGCAAAATCTCTCTGCTTTCCTTTTCTATTCTCTCCAAGTGATGTTTCTCTTCCTTGTAGAGCAATTGACACACCTTCTGATATTCAGTCCGGATCATCTTCCTCCGTAGAGTCACATAACCCTGAAGTGACAATGGATTAATTAGATCACATATTCAGGCTGATTTTATCCATGTCTTATTATCTACTGTTTGTCTTCTGACATTTAGCAATTTGGTACATTCATTGAAAACAGAAATTTAGGGAATCTTTTATTTCCCCTACTCATTTCATTGTTTATCTAATTGCACCAGAAGTCAAAATCTTGACTCTAACTACTTTCCCTCAAAAATCCACATTTTTGGGGCCGGCCTCGTGGCCGAGGGGTTAAGTTTGCAGTCTCCACTTCGGCGGCCCAGGACTTCACCCGTTTGGATCCTGGGCGCGGACATGGCACCGCTCACCAGGCCACGTTGAGGTGGCGTCCCACATGCCACAACTAGAAGGACCTGCAACTAAGATATAAATCTATGCACGGGAGAGCATTTGGGGAGATAAAGCAGAAAAAAAAAGAACATTGACAACAGCTGTTACCTCAGGTGCCAATCTTTAAAAAAAAAAAAAAAAACCACATTTTCTTAAAAACAGGTACTTGTGATTTAATAATTGTCTTATGTAGTATATCTAAATCCATTTAGTCTCTTTTATCTTCAGATACATTACCTACAGAGTGACTCTTTGTTTTCAGGAAATTATAGGAAATATTACTTCATAGAATAAGATAAGGCATTTCTAAAACTGTTACTTCCAGGGCAGCGAACTGCATGCAAACCACAACCTTCTATGTCCAAGTACGGCTTGATGCTTCCTCTCCAAGACTATGCCCTCCACTTAGCTGACTTCTACGCTATCCTTGGAGACTCGGTCAACAGACAACTACCTCCCAGTATGAATTCCCTCCTTCTCACTCTTTTTTCATTTTCTCTTTCCCTTCATTCCTCTCAACTTTTAAATATGGTTTATTTTCTCACATTGTTTTGAAAACAAAATAAAACATCAGGAGCCAGCCCTGTGGCCGAGTGGTTCAATTTGCGCGCTCCGCTTCAGCATCCCAGGGTTTCGTCGGTTTGGATCCTGGGTGCGGACTTGGTACCACTCATCAGACCATGCTGAGGTGGTGGCGTCTCACATGCCACAACTAAAAGGACCCACAACTAAAAATATACAACCATGTACTGGGGGGCTTTGGGGAGAAAAAGGAAGAATAAAATCTTCAAAAAATAAAATAAAATGTCTCTTCCATTCCCAACATTTTAATGAAACCACACTCTTCATCTCACCAAAACCTCTTTTGCTGAATCCACATATTTTTATATGCATGTTGCTAAGAAGTTTTCATATTTCACCAGTTCTTCTTTCTATAAAACCCACATACTGTGGGCTTCAAACAAATCCCTCTCTGTTTACCTTCCATCATTTTACTTTTACCAGCTCTTCTTTCCTAGTTAACTGGACCCATTAGTACAGGGACTCCCCAAGTTATCTTTCCATGTGAAAACTTTATTCTTTTCTTTCTAAAAAATCTCATGTGGTATCCATCTATTACAACACCTAGAATATGCTGACAATTGTGAAATGTCCCTGTCCAGGCCAATCTTTCACATAAGCTCTGAACTCATTCATCCAATTGCCTACTGCATATTTCTGGTAGGATATCTCACAGAAACTTAAAGTGCAACGCTTCTCAGAGTAAGTTTATCTTAATCCAAGCCACCTATACCTCCTCCATCTCCAATCTTAGTTATGCTCCAATTTCAAAGCAGAACCTATCTCATTTTTTCAATTTCACCCTTTTAACATTCTACATCAAACAAATCGCATTTTCTGACATTTCCTTCCATAAAAAATATCCCTAGAATCCTTTCACTTCCCGTTATCTGTGATCAATCCACTCCTGATCTTTCCTTGAAGGATTTCTCAACTGTCTCCTACTTGAGTTCTTGGCTCTCATTTTGAAGTCTTCCAATCAATATTCTCTCTAAACTGCAATCTGAATGAAGTTTCCAAAAAAGTATGGTGATCATATTTCTTCTTTGCTTAAACTCCTTCTGAGTCTTTCACTTGTATTCTGTTTAGTTGAACTTCTTAGCATATATTAGATGAATCTTCAGTAATATCATACCTAATTATCTGTCTCCTTGATCTATGCTCCACTTGGATCCTTCTGTTCACCACACTAGTCACATGAAACCTCAGTATTCCAAATAAAGCTTTGGTTCATCTTACATACGGTTCCAGCACTTAACGTGCTTAACTGTACTACTCATAAATACATCACATTCAACTTTTAGGTCTGACTTCAAATTTCTGTGCTTTCACTCATTCTCCTTCATATAAGGGTCTTCACAATGGAGAAAGAAAGGCAAGTGTAGTGTGGAGAAATAATGTTTAGGCTGAGATGTGTTATCTCTTCCTAAAAAGCTATTTCCCCAAATAACCACATGCCTCAATTTCTGACCTCATGCAGCTATCTGCCCAAATGTGATCTTCCATAGTACATTTATTCTGATAACTATATTTAAAATTCAATTTTTTCAAAGCTACTTTATTTATTTACCTTTCTCAAAAGCAATGATCACAATGGATCATACTATAAATTTTATATTTTGACTTGTGGTCTCCCGCCACTACCTCACAAGATCCTTGAGTGCAAGACAATCTGTTCCTTTTGTCTATTTCTACATTGGCTTAGAACAATTACTAAGACACAGTAGGCACTGGATATCTCAAAGGAAAAATATTGTAAGTTATATCTGTAAGGATATCGCCATTAAATAATCAAGAGAATTTTGTTATAGCTCCTTGTCATTCACACAGCCCCATTCTGATCCCTTCATTAGCGGGGAGAAGTGTCTTTAACATTGTTTGTTCATGTATTTCCGTCAGGAAATCTTCACCTCTATGAGAAGAACATAGATGTACTTTTATTTCACCTCTCCTACTAGTAGCGTTCAATTCATCTTTTTGAATCAACAAATGATAGACTTAAAGTCATCAGCCATGCATTTTGGTCACATTTTGAACTGACCTGTGCTCCACTTCCAGCCATATGTCAGCACTGCCTCTCTTATAACACGTGTTAACCAGGATGAGCTTTGTAGAACCCCAGCTTCCTCATGATTCCTCTAGTTTCTAGTCTCCAACTCTCACATTTACGTGCCTGATATCCCCATGAATTTCCAATTTCAAATTGTCCTTTACCATCAAAATAATCAATAAATATCTTTCTGAATATTCAAAGACTTTTTTTTACTTCTAGGAAACCCTGTGTTTCTCGTATCCACTGATTATTATATCCCGTGATGATAGTGATTTTTCTATACCTTTTGGTGTGTTATAGTGTTACCCAGGAAATAAAGCCTTTTAGCTTGATATTTTTTAGTCAAAATCCTAACAAAGGGACATACTTCTCGTACACGATTAGGTGGAACTCTTTTTGCTAATGGTTAGTCACACATAGAAGTCCACAAACATTACGATTTTAGCTCAAGTTCTTATTGTATAATCACTATGCATCCCAAGCCGGTGCTGAAGGAAACAGAGTCCCTTGCTTACCTCCCATGTTCTGATTTTCCTGATTTCTCTGTTTCGATTTCTCTGATTTTCTTGTGTCTTTTCCCACACAAACCTCATTTGTTTCAGGAGCTCTTGCTGCAAAAGAACCAGAAATGTGAGCATCAGAGAAGCTGATACTAAAAATGTCAGATCCTAACAGATGTAGAGGAGCAGGCACTGTAGAAAGATACATGGTCACTAAAGAGGGCGAAGAGCCAATGCATTTTCATTGTCAAGTATGGGAGACTTTTATAACCATGGAATAAACCTATGTTGAAAAGGGTGTTCCACCATGGTGGAAACTGGCCCTCAAACTTTATCACCTAACCAACTTTTGTTAAGTGAATCCTGTCTCTGATTTTAGTTGTTGTGATGCTAGTTCTTATCTCCCACTATCCTACATTTAGCTAAGACAGTGTTTCCAAATAGAGTCCATTAGAGTAGGGTTTTGCAATCACAGTTATAGTGGCCAATAATCGTTACTGAAATTAACAGATTTCTCTACCTTGATCTTACAGCTTCAATCACTATTGAACTACCACTTTGGTTTGAATTACCAGTTTCAATCACGATCAGCATCAGCACTACCATCAACTCAAGTTGTAAGATTTTAAATGTAAGTGCTCTAAGATTGAGGACATTTTCTTCAGAAGTTTATCCTAGTGCTTGACACATAATACTAGTCAATATCTGCTTTCTATGTCACATACATGAATAATAATCATCTTCACTTCCTTTTTCATAATCTCTCAGATAGTGGTTAGCCCAGATTCAAACTCCTCTCCCAGACATTGCTTACCCGGTATTCCTCAGCAATCCAATCAATGGAACAATGTCTATGAGCCACATGCTCCTTAGATTTACAGCAGAGCAGACAGAGAAAGTCCTTGATAACCTCACAGAAGAAGTTCTTTGTTTTCAGGTGTATCTCACACATCTGTTCTGCAGAGCTCAGGAACTGGTATGGTCTTGCCCGTCTGGCAAGGAATACCTGTGTCCTCAAAATAATATTGGTTTTAAAATTCGTTTGATGTGATATTTCCCTGCACACGGGGCAGCGAGGAGGATGTTGGGCTCCCTCCCAGCAGATACAGAGACAAGGCATACAAAAGCTGTGGCCACAGCCTATAGTGACTGGGTCTATGAAATAATTCATGCACATGGAGCAAGTAAATTGATTCTGGAAGACGTTGGAATCCATGTTTCTGAGGAGAGAAAAGAAAAGAAAGAGAAAATTATTTTGTCATGGGCCTTGAAAGAAGTGCATTTTCAAAATCATTAAAAATACTAAGGAGCATGAGAATTATCTACTTGCTGTTCGTACAAATACGCTAGTGTATTGTATATAGCAGGACAGGCTATGTGTTTCATATTACAGATAAAGGATGCTGAGGAACAGAGAGTGCTCATGAGTCAGCATATAGATATGTCAAACAAGGCCTTCCTATCAGGGTTCCAGCTCCCTAGCGCAATTCCAATTTTGTTTATCTATGTCCTCTCTTCTAAATGGACCTGGGAATCAGTAGTTCAGATCCAATCCCCAGCCACAGAATGTGGGTCATATTTCACCTAAAATAATCATCCTTATCCCTTTGCCAGTGACTGATTACATGGCCATTTGACCCTATTTGGCCAATGAGGTTTAAGGAAATCTTAGTAGGAGGATCTTTAAAAGGTTTATTTGCTCCTGAAAAGAAACATAAAGAAGAGTCAACTGTTTTATGTTCCTCTGGACAGTGTTTGAATGATGCATGAGACTGTCATTTTGTGACCGCAATGTGTACTTGTCCAGAAACCAGAGCATACACCCTGAGCATAACATAGAAGTGGAAGACATGGGTCTTTGACAATGTCATTGAGGCATAACCAACTCTGGGACTGGCAATCAATAAACGGAAGAGGAATTAAGGAAATAGAAAATTCATTTTACAACCGTCATAATTAATAATATATTCAGGCAAGAATCATGAATGGATGTGAAAAACCCTGGTAAAACAGTATCAGCCCAAAGATTACTTGTTAATAAGTTCCTCACTTTGTTACCATCAAGTAATATGTTAAATTATTCAATTAAAAAATACATACTTTCAGTCACCATAGATTGTGTGTAAATGTTTTCTACAATTATATGCTAGCTGTTATCTTCTCTGCCTATGAGAACTTGAATGAGAGGTGTTGCATATTTCCAAGGCTGAACATTTATTTTTGGTCCACAATACATGAAGTAAACAATTGCTTTATTGAACAAGTATAAAATTAGCTTTAAGATACCTCTTTAAAAAAATGCATAGCAATGAGGCTATGATGCCTGCAGATATATTTCTAAATAAAAGCTTATGAGGGGGATTTATGGACTTCTGAGTGCTGACCACAAAATCTTTAATGATATAGAAAGCCCTTCACTCAAACATGGCCAAAATGAGGGGGTAGTTTGAGGACAGGGAGAAAGTTTGGATTAGCCCTGTGTAGGATGGGTTGTAAGGTGGCCAAGAATTCATCATTGAATATAATCATTTCTAGATTGATAACATTGCTGATGGTAATACTAAAATCCTAATAGTATAAGGTAATACTTATCCTTTGCTAATTCTCAGCATTGGATTGGCTCCTCTTATCAGGATTACCTATCTTAATCTCCTCAACAATACCATTAACATTTCCTATTTTTACCAACACTTAATGATGAGGAAACTTGACATAGTTTAAGTAAAATAAGTCACCTGTCTAAAAATCACACATTGAAAACATGATTGATTCAGTACTCAAATATAGATCTTACTGATAGAAAAAAACACTAAACTTCAGTGTCCAAGATTAACGTTAAATCAAGCCACGTTTACTGATCTCTAAACTCTACTGACAGTAGTCTACTATAAGAAGTCATAGTAAAGAAGACAACATTCTGGTAATCATTCACGCAGAGTTTGACAGGTGATATAAAACAAGTTTTAAAAAAGGAAATTGTTGGGCCTGGCCCAGTGGCTAGCAGTTAAATTCGCACACTTGCTTAGCAGCCTGGGGTTGGCCAGTTTGGACCCTGGGTGTGGACTATGCACCGCTTATTAAGCCATGCTGTGGCAGGCATCCCACATATAAAATAGAGGAAGATGGGCACAGATGTTGGCTCAGGGGTAATCTTACTAAAAAAGAATAAAATAAAATAAAAAGGAAATTGTTATAATGAAGAAACGTGTAATGTGCTGTGGAAACAGAAGAAAGAACCCCCTACTGTTTTACCATCGCTTACACAACCATGCTAGACATACACTCACTCAATTCATACAATCAAATTTACTTGTTTTAATGGCCTAGAATATTTTGTTAGGAACATCCTCTCCTCATATTCTATCTTATTTTTAATACAGAAAGTTGATTCACTTGAAGCTAAATGTTATATAGTTTGTTCAGATCCTACCTATTACCTTCATTGCGAAAATTTCAAAGCAATTGAACTTATCTCCTATATCAACCCTGATACATTCAAGAAATTAATGATAAAAAGAAGAGGTTAGCAACACACACATAAGCCAATCAGACTCATTATCTAGAATTCTCACTCTCTATGAAATGATGTATACCTCAAGACAAAATGACTATCAGCAGCAAATGACTATTGGGTTTTAAAATAAATGGATTTGGCTCATTACAGAGTTCTTATTTTCATCCTAGGTGAATTCAGAGAGGCGTCCCACATCTATAACTTCCTCATATTAAAGAGTGTCAGTTTTCTGTAGGTCTCTCCGGTTCACAAACAGTCTAAAATCTAACTCTGAAAACTGAAATCCAAGTCTGAAACTGAAAACTGAAGACACATCATTTTAAACTCTCAACCTAACATGAGTTTTTTTTGAGTAATACAGCACATTGAATAGACCAGTATTCTATGTAGACCTGTTATACAAACATGTACATATATATACATATAGATAGCATAATATGAATCACTCAGTAGACATGGATACATGAATTACTACCTATGGCAACATAATACAATTAGCGTATATTTATTGCACCACCTAAAAAACTGCCAGCTGCCTGGTGCCAATTATCTTCTGTACCCTCAGTTATACATGAACCATCAAATTACACAAAAAATAAGAGGAAAAATAATCATATTAATCATATTAACTCATAAAATATGTAGAAAGAAGAGAGATTGCAACTATATAATGGAGTAAATTTAAATGCAACCATTTCTACTACTAAATTCTTTGGGAACTACCTAAACAAACAGATATATGGATTAAAGTTCCTATTTTTAAGGGAAAATTACTTTTATGTATATGGAGTACTCACCTTTGGGTACTGTGAATGGATTTTTCCATTCTTGTTAAATAGGTAATTCTCTTAAATTCAGTTCAAGGATTAGATGCTCACTTCCTGGTAGTGGTAAATTTCAGAAGTCTCCGCAGCCCAGCCAACTCCAAAGACCATGGTTCTGGAGAAGAGTGAACTTGGCTCTTTGCATGATGTTATATATTCTCTGAAAACCACACCCATTTCCTCAAAGAGATTAAGTTACCAAATCTTTGAAAAGGTGTTGGTATACATGATTAGATTTTTGTAGAGTGGGAAACACACCCTGATGCCAGTGATTGAATTAAAACTTTCTTAAATCTACTTAATCAACCTGCCACATCTAATCTCTAGTAAGAAGCCATGCCTTGAGTTAACCTATGTAATCCATAGATTTGTTCTTTCTAAAGTGTGAACCCTCGGGACCAGCCCGGTGGCACAGCAATTAAGTTTGCACGTTTCGCTTCTCCGCGGCCGGGGGTTCCCTGGTTCAGATCCCGGGTGCAGACATGGCACCACTTGGCAAGCCATGCTTTGGCAGGCATCACACATATAAAGTAGAGGAAGATGAGCATGGATATTAGCTCAGGGCCAGTCTTCCTCAGCAAAAAGAGGAGGATTGGCAGTGGTTAGCTCAGGGTTGATCTTCCTCAAAAAAAAAAAAAAAATTCACCTGGATTTCTGTTTCCATCCAAGATGGAGTAACAGGTACATCATTATCAAATTGCTCAAAATCAGTGATAAGGAGAAAAAAATTATAAAAGATCATTTGAGTGAACTTTAATTTATATATATATATATATAGTACAAATGTACATGTGAGAAGTTTATTCAAATGCTTTAGCTGACAGTTTGACTCTTCTCATCTCCAGAAGCCTCTGATGACCATGAGTCAAGGCTAGATTTTGCATCTGATGATTTCCTCTTTTTGTAAATTGTAATCAACTCAAGTAGTCCAAGGGCTACACCTACAACATCAGTAATGGCAAGATCTCACACAGAGTGAGTATATGAGGGCCATCCTGAAATGGGAACAGATGCTTGAGTCTGCCCAGTAGGGCATGTGGGATTCTACTCTATTCCCTGCCCTGGCTGCTGCTCCTGCCAGAGGGTGACTCTCCTTCTGGATATAAAAAATTCCATGCCATATATCACAGGAAGCATCATGTTCAATAGTATGGTTCTATATGACAGGTCTTTCTCTAATCCTGTCCACTAATAGAAATAGAAAGGTTAAATTCAAAAATAATGATAACCCAATTGAAGGTTAAAAGTTTTTTAAATAATAATTTAAAAACCTGAAAATACTCATTGTTGATGAGGATATGGAGAAATTTGGATTCGAATTCACTTCTGGTAGGAATGTACATTGCTACAACCACTTTGAAATGTGGTTCAGTAGTATCTTCTACAGCTGAACATATGCACATCTTATGACACAGCTGTGTAGATAGCCAAGAGAAATGTGAACATGTGTGCACAAAGAGGCATGTACACGAATGTTCACAGCAGCATCCTAAGTAATAGCCAAAAAAATGGAGCAACACAAATGTCTGTCAACTGTAGAATTAAAGTGTCATGTATTTATGTAAGAAAATACAGCAACAAATGAACAAACCATTGCTATATGCCACATCATAAATAAATCTCTCAAATACGGATTTGAGTGAAAGAAGTTACAAACTCAAAAGATTGAATAATAAAAATCAATTAATTTAATCCATCACACCAAAAAGCTAAATAAAAATATCATGTCATCATACCAATAGTTACAAAACAAGCGTTTGACAAAATCCATCATTCATTCACAATTAAGAAAAAGAAAATCTCTCAGCAAACTGGGAATAGAGAGGAGCTTCCCCTACTTGATAAAAAACATCTACAGAAATCCTATAGCTAGCAACATACTCAATAATGAAAAACTAGTTGGTTTTCTGCTAAAATCAGAGACAAGGCAATGATGTGTCCTCTCACCACTTCTTTTCAACATTTATCAAAACTCATAGTATGTACAACACAAAGATGAACTCTAAAGTAGAATTTAGTTAAGAATAATGTATTACCGTTTTAAACTAAAGTCCACTTTAGAGTTCATTTTGTACTGTAAAGATGAATTATAATGTTGCACACGTGAAACATATGTTATAAACCAATGTTAGCTCAATAAAAAAATAAGGTATCAATAATGGTTCATCAACTGTAACAAAAGTACCACAGTAATGCAGAATGTTAATAATAGGGAAGACTATGGTG